GAATTTCTGAATTTCTGAATTTCTGAATTTCTGAATTCCTGAATTTCTGAATTTCTGAATTTCTGAATTTCTGAATTTCTGAATTTCTGAATTTCTTAATTTCTGAATTTCTGAATTTCTGAATTTCTGAATTTCTGAATTTCTGAATTTCTGAATTTATGAATTTCTGAATTTCTGAATTTTTGAATTTCTGAATTTCTGAATTTCTGAATTTCTGAATTTCTGAATTTCTGAATTTCTGAATTTCTGAATTTCTGAATTTCTGAATTTCTGAATTTCTGAATTTCTGAATTTCTGAATTTCTGAATTTCTGAATTTCTGAATTTCTGAATTTCTGAATTTTCGCTTTTTTTTATAACGTTTCTATTTTCCCTTCATTTTTCCCCAAAATTTTAAGCCTTCCCTTCATTTTTCCAGAACTTTCCAAAAGTTTTTCACTTCTCCAAATCCCTTCTTCTCCTCCTTTCTCTTCCTTTTCTCCAGCAAAAAAAGGTGAAATATTGCTCAGCCGATTGGCTCCTCCATTTCCTTTTCTTCCTTTTTTTTCCAGAGTTTTCACTCCAAAAAAGGAGGAAAAAGTAGCAGAAAAAGAGAGCGAGAAAAGCTTCTTCTTCTTCTTTTTTCTCTTCAAAAGCCGAGAGAGTATAGAGACGCAGAGAAAAAGAGAGAGAATGCTCTTTGGTCAACACACACACACACACCATGAGCATGTTTGTGGTAGTGGCCGGGATGGGGGAAAGAGGAGAGGAATAAAAAGTTTTCTCTCTCTTTTTCTCTAAATCTCTTCCTCTGTTTTCTCTCTCACGTTTCACTCTTTTTGCTATCACCACACGAAAGAGATTATCAGAGAATTGGTTTCTATTTTTTTGGGAGAATTTTTCGCCAAAAAGTTGCAAATCTCGTGATTTTTTCAATTTTTTTGGCGCCAAAATTGAATTATTTTTTCAATTTTAAGCAAAAGTTCCTGTTTTAACTATGACTTTCATTCAAATTTCGGCGTTTTTTTTGCTCAAAAAGACGATCAAAAAGACGAAGATTTTTTGGTTTTTCATGAAATATGGATTTTTGTTTTGATATTTTGAACCATTTCCAGGCTCATTTTACTTAGCGTAAACACTCTATTAAAACGCCACCCTAATCGTCAAATTTGAGCTCATGTATCTCATTTTCTGTGAGAGATATCAAAAAGTGGTCAACTGATAAAATGTTGCTGATATCATGATAAACATTTTTTTAGTTGACAACTTTCCGATATCTTTCAAAAGAAGTGAGATATATAGGCACAAAGTGAACGGTCCGGGTGGCGTTCGTGTTTTCGGTAATTTGAAATTTTTTGTGCCAAAATTTAACAATTTTTTTGCAAGAAATTTTTTATCATTTTCTCTAAGTTTGGGCCTTTTTTCCACCTTTTTTTTTGGAAATAGTTCGAAAATTAGATGATTTTTCAAATTTTTTGGTTCCAAAATTTTAGATTTTTCAGAAAATTTGACTTCCTGTAAGTTTTGACTTTTTTTTCCGCTAAAAAAATTTTTTTTTGTCATTTTTGTCATATTTTCTATATAAATTTTGAAGCACCGTAAAACCTATATAAGATGGGCCGGCCCCTTCTAAGATACCTCCGGAGGGCCCTTCTATTACAGGGGGCCTTTCCGGCCAGTTTTTCCCAGAAATTTTGCATCGAAAAATCCGACGAAGTTTCGTTTGAAATTGAAAACCTGAAAAAAACACAATTTGAAGGGGGTCATTTTTCATAGAGGGCCCTTCTATTAGAGGGGCCCTTCTATCACGGGGCTCTTCTAATACAGGTTTTACGGTATTTCTTTTCGTTTTTTTTTCAATTTTCCTAAATTTTGGTCCATTTTTTTTCCCTGAAATGATTCATTTTTCTCATTTTTTTCTTTAAAAAAAAACTTTGCTTTGCGGCATGTATTCCTCTTTGTTTAATGTTGATGTGAAAAATAGCATTTTTCATTTTTACACTTTCTTATAATGTGGAAAAAAATGTTCGAGAATTTCACGAAAAATTTTTGTGAGAAAAATTCAAAAATCCAGAAATTCAGAAATTCAGAAATTCAACGTTTTCCGGAATGGTTTTTTTGAAAAAAAATCAGAAGTTTGCAGATTTCTAGATTTCGAAAAAATTGGGAATAAACTAAAGAGGAAACTCTTTTTCCCAAGAGGTGGTCTAGAAATCCAACAATTTTGAAATTCTAGGCCATCTTCTCTATTTCTGATCTTTCGATCTACCTAATTCACTCTGTTTTTGTCGATTTTTATCTCAAATTTCAATCTTTTCACCGACTATTTCTCTCTGAAATTTTTGTTTTTAACTTCCAATAATCACATGATTTTCCCCCAAAATCCTGTTATTTTCTCTAATTTTTCCCTGAAAAATTTCTTTTGACCCTATCAAAGTGCTTATTTTTTAAATGTTTTTTTTTCAAAAAATTAAAAATAAGAAGAGCACATTGCTCATCTTTTCTTTCTGTTTTCTTGTTTTCTGAGAGCATGAGAAGCGTCTCCTCCGGGGAATGAAAAAGCCAGTGTAATAATTGGCGGAAAAAATAGGAGAAAAAATTAAAAGAAGAAAGAAATGAGAGAGAGAGATAATGAAATTTGAGGAGACGCAGGTAAGTTGGCTCGGTTGGCTCACTTTTACTCATCTATTTTTGTTTTCTTTTTGGAATTCGTTGGTGTCTAGAAGATTGTTGACGGCCTAGAGAATTCTAGGTCATTGATTTTAGAAAGTTTGGAATTCAGAAATTCAGAAATTCAGAAATTCAGAAATTCAGAAATTCAGAAATTCAGAAATTCAGAAATTCCGAAATTCATAAATTCCGAAATTCCGAAATTCAGAAATTCAGAAATTCAGAAATTCAGAAATTCAGAAATTCAGAAATTCAGAAATTCAGAAATTCAGAAATTCAGAAATTCAGAAATTCAGAAATTCAGAAATTCAGAAATTCCGAAATTCATAAATTCCGAAATTCCGAAATTCAGAAATTCAGAAATTCAGAAATTCAGAAATTCAGAATTTCAGAAATTCAGAAATTCAGAAATTCAGAAATTCAGAAATTCAGAAATTCAGAAATTCAGAAATTCATTTTCATTCAGAAGACCCCCTCTATTTGAAGGGACCCTGTAATAGAAGGGCCATCCGGAGGAAAATACAAGTTTACGGTATCAAAAAAAATTTCAGCATCCATTTTCGAATGCCATTTTCTTTGACTTCAATTCTCTCAAAATTTTCAAATTTTCAAAGATTTTCTTTTTTTTGATTCCTCTCCATTTCTCCTTGTAGTTTAGAAAATTCGTGTTTTTTCCAAAAAAAAAAGTTTTCAAAACCAAAATTTCTAACCTTCCACCAATGCCTTCAAACCCCTCAATCTTCTTTTTTTCCGCTGAAACTTCGTATTACTTCAGCATTAAATATTTTGAGCTCTCTGGGGAGAGAGAGAGTGAGTGAGTGAGTGAGAGACGCAGAGAATTTTGGTTTCCATGGAGAAAAAGAAGATAGGCTGTTATGAAAAACAGAAATAGACAGCTGAATTTTTATTTTTCAGACTTTTTGTGTCTAGCCATTTATTGGGGAAACCTGAAAATCTGAGGATTTCAGATTTACAGATTTTCATGTACATCACAGCAACCTGGTGAGTCTTACCGTACACACTCTAATAGAACGCCACCCGAATTGTCAAATTTGAGCCCATGTATCTCATTTTCTGTGAGAGATATCAAAAAGTGGTTAACTGATAAAATGTTGCTGATATTATGATAAACATTTTGTTAGTTGACAACTTTTTGATATCTTTCAAAAGAAGTGAGATATATAGGCTCAAAGTGGACGGTTCGAAAGGCATTCTATTAGAGTGTTTACGGTATATGATTTTAAGATTCTCAGATTTCTAGATTTTTACATGTTTCAAGATTCTCAGAATTCGAAGACTTCAGGATTTTCAAATTTTAGGATTTCTGGATTTTAAGATTTTCAGGTTTTTTAGAGATTTCTGGATTTTCAGGGAAAAACATTTCTTGGAATCTGAAAATTCGGAAAGATCGAAATTTCATAAAATCTAAAAATCTGAAAACATGAAAATCTGATTCAGGAATGACTGAATCTTAGAATCCACGAATCTTGAAATCTCGGATTCTCAAATTATCCAATTTTAGATTTTCTGGATCTTCAATTCTGAAAATCTGAGAATCCAAGATTCTTGGCTTCCCAAATTCTCCACGTCTTCCTTCCCTTGCCCTTCATCCTTCATTGCTCATCCTAATCCTTGACGCACATTATAACTCCAAAACTAATCACAAATCCTTCCAAAAACATTGAGCAAAAAATCCCTCTTCCATTGCTCATCTTTTTTTTTCTATTTATTCCGAATGCTCTTCCTCTTTTGCCCTAATCTAATCCCCACACTTCTTTTTTCATCTCTTTTGGAGCCCCCTTCGGTGCTCCGGATGTGTACGTGTACATTTAGTCCTTATTTCCCATCCGCACGGATTTATATGAAATCCCTTTCATAAATCTCTGGAAGCCCCAATTTCCATTTCCCAGATTTTCGCCAAATTTTCTCATTCTTATTAGAATGAGAATTTCCACATTTGAAGCATTGAAATTTTCAATTCTTAGGTCATGACCTAGATTTCAATTCTTAGGCCATGACCTAGATTTCAATTCTTAGGCCATGACCTAGATTTCAATTTTTAGGTCATGACCTGGATTTCAATTTTCAGGTCATGAACCTGGATTTCAATTTTCAGGTCATGACCTGGATTTTAATTTTTGGGCTTTGACCTAGATTTCAATTTTTGGGTCATGACCTAGATTTTAATTCTTAGGTCATGACCTGGATTTCAATTTTTGGGTCATGACCTAGATTTCAATGTTTGATTTTGGACATGTTAAAATTCAGGCATTTTTCGCAAAAATGCTGAAAATCCGGAAATCATTGGAATTTTCGTATTCCACTTGTTTGAATTTTTTTTGTTTTCTAAATTCTCTTCACATTTTCTATCATGTTTTCATTGAAATCGTTTTTTCTTCGGCCGTAGTATCTTGTAAATCGTGCCGTGCCGCCCGGGTGGTCTCTATCTATCAAGATGATGACCATATCATCATTTTTCTTCTTCCTTTTTTTCCCGTTGTTGTTAAAAGTTTCGAAAAATCGATTTTTCCATTTTTCTGTCAATTTTGACCGATTTTGAGGCATTCTCGGGCGTCGCCGGCAACTTCTGGCCGGAGGCTGGTCGGCTTCAGGATGGAACTTGGTCAGATTCCGGCAAAGACATTGTGGGAAGCCGACCAAGATCCGACAAACTACCGGCCAACTTCCGACCTCCTAACAGCAGGGGCCGGTTCGGTTCGCGTTTATTGATGTTTTTATAGAGAAACATCGCATTATGTAGAATTTTATTTATTAAAAAAAAAGAATTATACATGAAAATGAACAAAATTAGGGGAAAAATACAGAAAAATAAGAAAATCATGATTTAGATTTTTAATTTTGAAGATGTCGCTGTGAATCGTGACGAATACAGGAGAAGAGGCTATGTCTGAAATGTGAATAAAATTAGATATTAATTCAGAAAATAGGAATTGACCTGATTAACTTTCTTGTCTTTCTTCGAATTTTCTAGCATCCAGTTATTTCTTTGATTCCTGGAAACAAAACTTCCAAAAATACAGTTTTTTATCAACAAAAATTACCTTCTAGTTGCGATATCTCCCAAGCACTTGACATTAAAAATGTTGACTTGAACTTTATTTATCTGAAAAATTTAAATTATGACAAGAATTCAAAGAATAAATTACCTGATAAGTTTCGTACTCTTTTTTTCGAGAACATCGTCTGTTATTGTCTCCGAAGTACTTGTCTGAAAAAATGCTCCAAAAATTGAAAGGATGCAACTTTAAAGGAGGACTCCGACCAAAAATTTTTATTGCATTAAAATGTGTTAAAAGTTATCTGTTTTTCAAATATTATTGCGAAAAAATTCAAAGAAAATCCAAAACCCCCGAAAAACGGCGTTGAAAAGGAAGAAAATTCAAAAAATGGTGCCGCCGGGGGACGAGGATTTTCAGTGAGAAACCTAGGCCACGGCACCTGACAGCCTTTTTTTCAAGTCGCCGACAGTGGTTTTTTACGTTTTTTACCTGCCGGACATGAAATT